GCAGTGGCAGTTCAGCTCCTTCGACGTGAAAAGGCATGCCCCGCGATAAAGAGCGTAGGTGATGGCGGTGAAATGTATCAAGGAAGTTGCCGAGTGACTCATCCGTGAGGAGTAAATGCCAAAGGGAACGTTAGAAGCATTTTTCACCAACGTTTTGGGGCAACCTAATATGTCCGTCTTTCTGATCTCCAGGATATGGATTGTACTACTACGGATCGAAATTCGCTTCATTTCGCCAAGAATGGGACCCCTGGCGTGATGTGGTTTTCTTAAACGATGATTCGATTGTAAATAAAATTCTCATTTCCCTTTGATTTGTTTTTCCACAGGAAGAACTTCTCTACTTCTTCACAAGGACGATGTCCCTAAACTTCATGAATTAGAACACTGAAGATAGTTTGAGGATCCCCTTCTCTTTGTGTTCCTCCCAGACCTCAAACTCGGCTTGCTCAAAATCGAACCTTTCGAATTAGCCGCTTCCACAGTAATAATGTAATTTAGATAGTAATCCTTTGAGATGGGTCCAAAAGAATGAACATGAAACCCAGTACCACTATCCTCTTCCCAGAGCTTCACTCGTACGTTCGAGGCTGGTTTTGATCCACATATCAGCTTGCCACGAACAGCTATAGACTGATCCCTCATCGCTATTGCCATTCCTACGACAGCAAGCAGTATAATAGACTTCATCTGGAACATCTTATATCAATAGGACCAATACTATTTATTTTTGTATATGCTACAGCGCTTCATTCACACAGAAAGAAAAAGCCAATGGTGTTATTCTGAACGGCTGCAGTCTGTTTGAACACTTTGAGTTTTTGAAGCTTGGGAGTTTTGCATTTGGATTGCTGCCGGTAAAAAATCAACTACCAAACTGTTCAAAATTAACTGTCAGGCTAGAAGCAATCGGTTTCAAATAAGTGTTCTTGACACAAAACGTACTCAAGGATTTCTTGCCATGAACGCTATGAACAAAGTGAAACACAATGCCATAAAATTTGCTGCGGCACCGTACTACAGATGCTTTATTTATAAACGAATTCCGTTTAGACCTGAGGGAGGAACTACCTCAATAGCCTTCTCCTATCTTCAGCGCCTCAGAGCGAGGAAACAACAATGGTGAAAGCTAAGTGGATCCTGGTGTCAGCACATGTCTCTGCTCCTTCCACTCGTGGAGTGGCCTCGAAAGGGGCAACGCTGACAATCAGTTGTCTTTTTATTATGAGAACATTTGTATAAGGTCGCAACTAGCGCTCCGAAAGTGGATAGTAAAGAAGACTCATCGTCTACCTGGATTATCACTTTCGAGTGTGGCATAAAAACATCAAGATCGGCACTGGTGACGTAACTGATGACCCACTGGCCCGAAAAACGGGATTAGCGGGTTCGAGTCCCGCCTGGGCCAAGACATTTCTCATTATTCTGCATTCTCTTATGACAACTCAATGCAACTTTCACTTAAATTTTTTTTTCCACTAAACGCCTATATATTTTGGCGTTAGGTAATCGAATCTACGAAATCTAAAAATGCCTCAATGTGGGGAATGCAACTAGCAGGGCGAGAATCGGGGAGAGAGGGTGTTATTCGATCGAGATTTTTGGTGTATCTTTCTGCCTACTTCGAGAGGCGGAAGACTATAAGGTCTCCTGCCTGGATACAGGTTCCGGTCATATTTTTTAGACCAAATGATTCGCCTATCTACTGAAGAGGGCTTAACGCGGTGGTGTGCAGCGTTTATCATTCAAAGATTGTTTATTTCTATTAGTGTCATGGCATCTGCTCATCCCTTTTCGCATTATGGACACAGAACTGTTTTATTCCGCTACCTCTGCACCGACCTCTTCAAGCGCTTCCTTACAAGACATAGTACGCTCACACACATTTGAGGGTATGAGACTATCAGCCCCCCAGCTGTCGATGTGTCGTGGTCCCCCGCCCAAACATGCCCAGGAATGGAGATACAGGACCGTGAAACACGCTAGTTCCTCCATGCTCCGCCTTACACCTTTTGCGGCGCAGATTCCCGTCCTTCATAACATCCATTGCAAGCGCGCGTGTCGCGTGCGGCTCTTGGCACTTTGCCAAGTCCTTTAATTGAGCTGTCAAATACGAGTAAAACGCAATTTCCTGATGCGGATAACATTGGAGGTGCTACAAAATAAGAACAGAAGATGATGACAAGGGCCAGAACTCAAGAGCAACTCGGCTGCATCCGCAGAATCCATCAGAGGCCGCGCATTCCCAGAACATGAGAATAAAAACAATCCAAGCGTCCCACTCGTTTATTCTAAGTATTTCTATGGCTTTGGCGCCGGAATTGCGCCGGATCGTAGAATTTACAGGCGATTTTCGCGTAATTTGGCCCGTTTCTTTGATTTTTTTCATTTATTTGGTATGAGCAACACTACAATTTTTCGCATCAGGAAATTGGCGTTTTACTTGTATTTGAAAAAGCGCAATTAAAGGACTTGGCAAAGTGCCAAGGAGCCGCACGCGACAGCGCGCTTGCAACGGATGTTATGAAGGACGGGAATCTGCGCCGCAAAAGGTGTAAGGCGGAGCATGGAAGGAATTAGCGTGTTTCACGGTCCTGTATCTCCATTCCTGGGCATGTTTGGGCGGGGGACCACGACACATCGACAGCTGGGGGCTGATAGTCTCATACACCTCAATGTGTGTGAGCGTACTATGTGTCTTTAAAACTATTTCTTCTACCACCCTGCGCCAGCATGGCAGCTGTCGACGCCGAAATAATGGAGCTGCACAAGGACAATGTCTACAGTCATCAGACAATCTTCCACGACGCTAGCTCTTCAGAGCGGGAGCCTACGGTGATATGAACGAAGTGTAGGTTCTCGGCGAGTACCTGTAAACTCAGCTCCAGTTAGGCAAGTGGTTCGGTGGAAACTACTGCCTCTCAGCGTCAATCCTACGCCAAGGCAGCCTACGAGATCTGAAGCGAATTCGCCAACCAGAGGGCAAATCATCGGTAGCAGTCCGTCTTCAAGTGCTGGTCAGCACACACCGCGTCGAAAGAAAGCGGGTAATCCAATGCAATAGACGCTGGATGCTCCCCACTGGCACAGTTCAGTAAATGCTCTCTCTGGTCTGCTTAGTCGACTCTGCGGTATGTTAACGCTATACAGTCGAGAAAAGCTGCACGGCTTGAGCCTAAGTAAGAGCTAAAAGATGTCGCAACTTGCGTTGCGCCGGCGTGCATTGTTAAGCGATGGCATCCAGGAGCAGTGCCCAAAAAATGGCAAGGATCTCTCAATAACATTGCTGTATAATTTTGATCTTGTGCATACGCCTCTCTGTAAGAAGAAAGTCTAATTTGAAAAAATGTGCAGAACTATCCTCGCCAACCTAATAGGTGTTTCACTTCTGCCCACTCTAATCGATTCCACGAGGGGAGATTATTAGCGTGAACCCTCAGAGACCCCGGACGTAGCCCAAGGCCGCTTGGAAAAGTCTTGCCCACTGAAATCGAAATAGTCGCAGTCAAAAGATGCAAAAAAATTGGAGCTTTTCGGGTGTGTTCCGAGCATCGGCTTTAAAATGGAAGACAACATGCGCAACATGCACTTTAGCTTATCTTCCTTCGGCACATTAGACATAAATTTAAGCGGTCAACGGTAAACTAATGGGGTCTGACTACACCGTTTTATTGACACTCCGATTGGGTACTAATTGCCTATTAGCACGATCGGGACCACATTCCTATCGGTCTGCTGATGAGAAACGGTATCTCTTTCGAATTCTGACTCCAGAACCAAAGTAGCTTACTAAAAAGAGCCATGTCAATCCGGTTTTCCCTCAGGTCAATGATGTTAACAAAGATGTACATGCGCTCGCAAATGTCGTAGTTACAGCCGCGGAAAAAAAACTTGGAATAAGCCTTGAAAGGCATTTTTTATTTGTTCTAATCTATTTAATCTCTTCTTAAACACCAGCATTAGGATCAAAAGCTAAGAATATAATGTTCTACGCAACCACATTAAAAATTTTGGTCAAGCGGAGATAGTGTAGTGGCAAGTGGCGCCACTTACCACAAGCGTGGTCTAGGGTTCAAATCCCGGATCGGCTCCCGCCTGAGCCAACCGAGTTTTTCGTACCTGCGGGGAGAGCTGATTAGTAGTAGACTCGTAAGAAGATAAAACGTTGACTCCACCCTTTGGCCCTCACTCCACCCGTTGGTCCTCCCCCTCTTCACCGCAGTAA